TATCAATTTCAATTTTGGGCCTGCTCTATCATTTTCAGCCATTTTTTTGTCTAAGTTTTAGGTTAAAATTTGATGAGGTTTGCCACTAAATGGTGGTGGCTGGCGGTAGCAGAGCGCCGAGCGTCGCCACCGTTGCTGCATCTAATTTGATTTAGCAATTAGCTGAAGAATTAGGATAAGAAATACAAAATAAAAATAAGAAATGTGAAAAGAAAAGGAAAGAAAGGAAAAAGGAAAAGTAAAAGAAAAGTATGAAAAAAATGAGATTACCAAATTACGTTCTTACGTAACATTTACACTCACTTGTCAAGTAAGTGCAGTGCATCTGTCAATTTGGATGATTCTCATCTAACTTTTACGTTAAATCATACCATAAAAAGATAAAAGGCCCTCGGGGGTAAATTTCAACGTTAAGGGAGTGCCTAACTTTCGACCAAAGCACACAAAGGTTTTGTGTACTCTACCAATTAACTTTTACATGATATCATATTTGGCACAGAGTCTACCAATTAGGGTACATATTTATTTTGTAGCCATATGTGCAAGCATAATATGGAAAACTACTTACTTGCCTCTTGAACAAATTTCATTCTTTTAATGTAGAAGTGCTGATTTGGTTAGATTGACAAGCAACATATGGTAAGTAGTGTAATATTGCCAACTTTAGGGGCCAAGGACATCATCAGAAACCTCAATGGCGATTTACGAAAATATTAATTTTATGACATGACAACGAAATCATTATATGAAGTATATACTGAAGAAGAATTTGAACTAGTCTTACAGAAAAATATTTGGAATAGAATACTTCTAGAAAAGTATTTTTTGAAATGTTGGCTTGAAAAAAATGAACAATGTTGTTTCAAAAACCAAAAAAAAAAAAACATAAGTATATGGTCCAAATGGAATTGGTCAACTTATGGTTTCTTTTGTTTTTGTGTGCTTGTGTTTCTTTTTTGCTTTTTTGGTCCTTTTGGTTCATCAAACTAAAATTTTTAACATTAAGCACAAAAAATTGTATAAATAAATAAAAGGTACTAAATGAAAGATATTACTCTCTCCATAATGATAGGCTTACTTCCACTTTCACAGAGATGAAAAATGGTAGTTAACGAAATCATTTTTGCTTGGTTCTTTCCTTATACGTCCTTCCATTAATACTTGTTTTAGTGTTCTATTTATTACATCTAGCGGAATAGTTGATTAATAGAATAGCATATTTGTTGATTAAGATGCACGTTAACTAGGGGTGGGGAAAAAAACCCATCAATCCAAAAATCCAAGCAATTCGATCCCTTCACTCCAAAAATTAGGATATCCGATCTGGTTTCCCTCAGCAAAGTAGATGAGGGTCGGGTACCCAAAAAATTCGAATACAAATACAGATTATAAAAATAAAAATCCTTGGAGTACCTGACCTGTAGGTATATTATATAAATATTAGAAAATATAGGGGTCATTTTATAATTTTTTTAAGTTATTAACCCTAAATTCATCAACTTTCCAAATTTCTCTCAGTCTTCAAACTTTAGCTGATGTCTCTCAGTCTCCTCTCCTTCTTTTCCTTCTAACCTTTACAACCAAAGAATTGTTATAAGGTTTTCAAAATTATCTTATTGATTTGAGTTTCAACTTGTGCTAATATTTTTCTTGGTTGCTTTTGTTTTTCGTAGAAATTTTAAGTTTGATAGATGAGCATTCTATTATTAATATTGAAGATTGAAGATTGAAGATTTGAAGAGTTACTTGTTCTCCTTAATGTGTTGTAGAAGGATAAACCTTTTGCATTGATGTTCAATGTTTTAATTTGTGATTTTTGTTGAAGAATTTGTTCTCCGTCCAGCTGATTAGTTGTTTAATTCCTCTTTTTCCTTTTGTTAGATTGTAGTAAAATATTTGGAAAGTCACCTTGAGCCCAGACCTCAAATGAAACTTTGATTTGGCATTCTCTATGTGTATTTATTTGTCTGCTGATTTTGTTTCATATTTGTGGTTCCTATACAAATTATCTCAATCCCTTCCATGCATATGATGAGAGCAACTTTTCTTGGCTAGTAATGTTCACAATAGTCAACTTAATGTACTTGAATTTAGTGCTAAAAGGTGTATTGTTGATTTTACGTTATTAGTTGCTTCAGCAGTACTATAAAAGGAATAATAAGGGTACCCTACAACCCGCCTTTTTTTTTTTTTTTTTTTTTTGTGTACTCGAGAATAGGATACTTGGAGACATGCAGAGCAGATTACGGTCAAAAAATTATTGATTCTATAAGTTAAAGTCAGGTCAATCAAATCACGTTAGAGTTGGGTATCTGACCCGTGCCCTCTCCTAACATTAGCTATGGGCATTGTAGCAAATTCATGTACTAACTATCATTAAAAAGAATTAGACTTTTAATTAAAAAAAAATATAAAAGAAAAGTGAGTATATTTTTATGGGATGAATGTAGTTTCTAAAGTCAAAGTTGAAAGCAACATTCAAATGCTCAAGAACAGTACCATAGAACCTCCATTTCAGACAATGGTTGGCGCCAGTAGTGTAGTGTCGTGTAATACTACTGCTAGTTACGTGTTGTCAATATGACCTTATCGGGAATATAGATCGATTTTACGTGTCAAGATTTTGACCAGATGAGCTTATTTCAAATGTCGGGGAAGGTTTATGAAAATTTTCTTACATATATCAGTTTTATCACATGGTGGAGACCTTATTATTATTATCTCCACACTTTGACAAAGTGTGTACTAAAGAAGAATCTGAAATATAAAAAAAAAATATTTAGAATTGAAAGTATCTAGAAAAAGGGGAACTCATAAAAAAGAGAATAGATAATATAGAGAAATATTTGGTCCAAATGTTGTTTCAGAATAAAAAAAAGGAAAAAAATATTTCAAATTGATCAAGTCAATTATCGGTTTATGAAAATTTTCTTATATAATTGTCACTTTTATCACATGTTGGAGACATTACAATGTCTATGCTTTAACGAAATATGTACTAAAGAAGAATCTGAACTAGCTTATAAAAAAATATTCAAAATTGAAAATATCTAGAAAAAGGGGAACTCATGAAATAAGATCAAATAAACTTTAACCAAATGAATCATATAGAGAGCTACCTGCTTCAAATGTAAGAAAAAACTACTCCGAATAGAACAAGTCAGTTATGGGTTTCTTTGGTTTTTCTGTTTTATATGTTAAGTGCCTCATTTTTTATTCTGCCCCTTTGGTCATCACGCTAATTTTTTTGACATTAAGCAAAAATAAAAGGGGAAGATAGTATTCAAAGTCAACGTGCAAGAGTGCTAGAATGGTATAGTACTGATATGATTTGGCCACATGATTTGGTACTGATATGATTTGGCCAAGTCAACGCCGCATACAGTGGTTTGTTTTACGAACAAAAGTTGACTTTGTCAAGAGAATTGTCTACTAGGTATTCCAAGCATCTAAGTCCTTGTTTGGACAGCCATTTTCCCCCCCGGAAAATTGCATCATTTTTCGTGATCACATATTTTTATTATCTTTTTTTTTCACATACATCAAATCGTTACAGTAATTTTTTTTACAAAAATTCTAGAAAATGCAATCCAAACACAACCTTAGATTATCAAAGATTTGCCATGGACTATTAGGGTGAATTTGACAAAACTGAACTATAAAATATGAATCTGTTAATTTATTAAATTGTCAAGTAATAGAATCCTAACATTTGAGCGTCTTTTGCATTCACTTATCACTTATTTTTTAGAGTAATTTTACCTAGTTCAAAATTGGTTGATTAATTACAGTTTTCTATTTTTTATTCAAATACGTTTGAATATATTAAAATTTGAAGTCATTAAATTTATGTAATGAATTGAGTTATCAAACAGATTTTTTACTTATTCAGCTGAGTTTATCCGGCCAAATAGGTGTCTAAAACACGGTGGCTAAGAACTTAAGTGATAATGTAATGGCTTCGGTCTAAACAACTTAGTTAACAATATCCAGAAACCACAACTCATTTATTTTGCTAGAAATTGAGTTGGTGGCCGATGTGAAACCAATAATTCTTTGCCTAGTTCAACAATAGTTTGGAAGAATCTAGGAATAATTCATGAGTGCAAAATGAAATTAACCCTAAAATTTTATGTGATCTTGAATTTCATAATTTTAAACTTGGATAGTAGATTATTTGGAATAATTTTTTTTTAAAAAAATACTGCAACACTTGATAAAAAGGTGGTAGGAAAATGTATTGATGATGTAAGTAGATAATTTTTTGCAAATAATCCACTATCCAATCAAAATTTAGCTCATTTATTCCTTTGTTTTTCCCAAAAGTAATATCTACGAATTACCCATTCAACTTCAAACTGGAATACGTTTTTTATCCTTTACTTCACCTTCTCTGAAGAGTATGCAGTGCTGCCATTACTATATTTATAGAATTGTAATAGTTGCATCTTTCATTAAAAGCAGTCCCAAAAGGCCCCAGCGGAATCCTGGTCAATAAACCTACACTTCAATTTAGAAATAGTTTTGGTTGCAGGTAGTTCATTGCAAAAATTAGAAGTTTAGGTTGCACACTCCAATATAGAAATAGTTGGAGTGGTGCAAAGTGCAATTAAGCTGATACTTTTAAACAAAGTTTAGCTCATTTTCCCCTTTCTAGAGTTGACATTTAACAATTAGCCTTTCAACTTCAAACTGAAACTATATTATCCTTTAGTTCACCTTCTTTTAATAATATCAGAATATCCAGTGCCGCCATGCCCATTACTGTATTTATCATTTCGCCTTTTGTAATAATTGTATCTTCTATTAAAAGCAATCCCAAAGAGCCTCAGTGGAATCCTGGTCAACAAAACCACATTTCCCCGTTCAAATATTTACGCCGTTTGGTTCCACCCATCGCAAGTTCACAACTACTGACCTTTTTCTTGACTACAAAACTGTGATGTATTCTAGATTTCGATGATTGTTGTGCTTTTCTTGGACTAATAAATAGCCTACATATACAATTATCAGCCATCCTTGCATCTTTGTAATAGTGGTTAACACTAGCAGCTCTCTCACCGTTTCTTCCAATTCGCATTTTTCTCAACTCATTCGGAAGACAAAGAAAGCATGGCTGGTGAACAGTTGAAGGGTAGATGGTCTCTCAATGGCATGACTGCCCTTGTTACTGGTGGCACCAGAGGCATTGGGTAAGCAAGTTTCTTCAGATATTGTTCCTGTATTTATTCTTACATAAAAAACTTGGTGAATTGTTTCGTTATTAATTTGCATTCAATCCTCCAAAAGGGTAGGTTAAGAATCAATTGGCCAACTTCTAAGTGTATCTATACAAAAATGTTATTCTCAACGAGTAGAAAAACCTACTCAATACAATCATTTGTCTTACTCATATCCAATTTAACATAGCATAAATTCCTGCTTCCTCCTTGTTTCCTCGTAGATGTGTGCGATTATGTCCCTAATAACTTAGGGTTGAGGCACATTTAGAATGTGATTCTGCACTCTTCAAAAGAATGATTTGAAAGCTCAAATGGGATAACCCGATTTGAAATATTTGATTTGAAATTTCAGGCATGCCATAGTGGGAGAGTTAGCAGGATTTGGGGCCACAGTATACACATGTTCAAGGAACCAGAAGGACCTTGATGAAAGGCTGCAAGAATGGGGAGCAAAGGGCTTTAAAGTATATGGCTCAACTTGCGATTTGTCATCAAGAACAGAAAGAGAAGAACTGATGAATAATGTCTCTTCCACCTTTAATGGGAAGCTGAACATATTGGTCAGTATAAAATTTTTCATTTTCATCCATTGGATAATATTTAGTTGCTTGAATTGTCAAATTGCAGATAGTTTGTTACCAAGGTCTGATTATGAGTTAATAAATGGGAAAATAGAAAAAAAATTCGGAATTTGAATTGCATCCAAGGCAACTCTTGGGTGAAATATTTGAGATTTATTGGTTTGGGTTAATTTCCCAAATAGTTACTGAACTGCAGATATTTTGCAGGATAAGTAACCATAATCACAGCTGTAAATGAATTCTATAATTGAAAATTTTGAGAATCATGCTTGACTTGTTTTCTAATTTCTAGAAGAAACGTTTAAGAATAGGTTATTTTAAACGTGTATTGTTCACAATTGATCCTTTAAGAATCTTCCGCCTGTTTTTTGATTTGTTGAAATCAACTTAAAAGACGAAAAGTTGGTTTAACAAGTACTAACGTGTTTTTAAAACAACTTTTCACATTTCAAATTATTTTTTTCCCATTTTAAGCCCACCTTTTATTTGAATTATAGGGATCAAATTTTCGTGCAGTAGGGATTCTACTACCAGAGAAAAGTTTCTTTTTTTTTTTTTTTCTGTTTTTGAGTAAATTACACTAACCTCCCCTCTTATTTTTGACCTCTCTTGATTTTACAATACCAGGGACATCCCATCTTGTTTAGCTAGATAAAATCAACAATTCCCCTACTCTTAATAAAGGGAGTAAAATTATTAGTTTTGAAATAAATTCACTTCAATATCCCCAAAATACTCTTACAATGTGTAGTTTTTCTTTTCTTCAAACTTAATGACCGGAAAAGATCCATAGAACATAAATGCATGTATAGCTATCAATTTTATCTTGGGTAAAATGCAAAAAGTCTCCCCATAATTTGGCGAATGTATAGTTCAGATCCCTATAGCTTGAAAACCCATAATTTGATCTTTGTGGTTTTAATCAAAGTGAAACCATTAGATTTTTTTTAGGTTTAATGGTTAAGCTCAAATAGTCAAACTTTTCAAATAAAATTACCCTAAAATTAATAAAACACCCTTCAATCTAAGGTTAACATAATTTCTAAACAAAAATTTGAGGAGAAACTGCACTTTAAAAAAAATTTTGAGGTAAAAATGAAATTTAAAAAAAAAAAGGTTATATTTGTTTCGTCTTCAATGTTATCTGTTGCACTGCTACCACCATTAATAAAAGGCTTATAACAATTCGCCTTTCAAATCCGCACACTTCACATACATCAGGTATACGAAGACAAAGATTATAGAAAAGTATTGCATTCTAGCTAATTTTGGGGAAATACTAAACTGAAAAGTTCCCCTTCCACATGTAAGGGTTACTATGGCATTTTTTGTACTTGTGCACCAACCACGCAAATTCTAAATACTAACATGCATAGACGGAACTAGAAAATTTAGTTAGAGGGTGCAAGGTTTAACATATCTAAAGTTATGTATATATTATATAGTATTTTCAAATTTTGCCCGGCAAAAATTTAAATTTATAAAAAACCCATTTAAATATTATTAAATTTTCAAGAGAGGAAATCCTAATTTTTAATAACTTTTTGTGTTTTTTTTGTTGGGTTGGGGGGGGGGGTGTGTGTTGGGTCGGAGTGTGGCTCCTCCCTGTCCATTCCTCGTTCTGTCCTCGCTAACATGCTCCTGCATCATTATTTGCCTCTTGGAAAGAACTTGAGTCCAAGGAGAAAGTTTTGATGCACTCTCATGACATCCATGTTGCAAGTTTGGATAAAGTACAAAATCCAAGTTCTAATGCCCTGAATGCCGTCTTCAAAATTCATCATCTGTGCTCCCTATTGGATTTTGAGGGTAACCACTTTTCAAAGCTATCTTGGAAAACGACTCGAACGATTTAATAAATGTTCATGTAGACGATGAATTGGAAACTTGTACTTTGTCGTAATTTTGATAATAGCCAGACTATCAACACACATTCTCCATAATTATCAGCTTTGCATTCATTAGCATATGATCTACATTAATTTTGATTTTCAAATTCATCCCTGGTCCATTACATATTCATTCACCATTCTATCGTTACGTTTCAATCTTTAGGTTAACAATGCAGCAACAGTTATCTTGAGAAGAGCTACAGACCTTTCTGCCGAAGATTTTTCACGTGTGTTGGGAACAAATCTCGAGTGTCCTTACCACTTGTGTCAACTTGCATATCCGCTTCTGAAAGCTTCAGAAGCTGGAAGTATAGTTTTTATCTCATCTGTGGCTGGTAGCACTTCACTTCCAGGTGCTTCGGTTTATGGAAGTTCAAAAGGTAACGTACACCTTTAATTACTAGTATCTAATGAAGAATTGGGCAAAACACTAACCTTCTACCTTAGAATTGAACCAATTGGGTAAAACAATTTGATTTTTTCCAGAAATACTTTCAGTATTCATATTGATGCGAAAAGTAACATTCCTGTGTTCATTTAACTCCAACAAATTTTCCTCATGAGTTGTTTTTATCTCAGGATATACTAAAAATAATTACTTTTAGATTAGATCCTGATGCAACCCACAATTTATTCGAATTATAAGTGCTAATCGCAATTAATCAATTAAACAAAATAGCAAACCAACTCCCTCTAGAGAAGTTGGTCACCACATTAATTGTGGGATGAGAGGTCAAGGGTTCAAACCTTGCCTCCTATCAATGTGGCTTAATATGAGATTTATTCTAAATTCATACGAGTATGTGGTGTACCCGTTTGATCTAATGGTGGTTCAGTCCCGGTTCCTCCGACTTAGCTGGGCTACCCCATACAGTAGGTTCCCCCCTAGGAGTAGAAGTAGGTTAGGTAAGTTAGATATGCCGTTACGACAAAAAAAATTAAACAAAATAGCAAACAGAGAAACTTTGGAACCTTTTTTCTAGATCGAAATTCAAAATTTCTCAAGTCTAATACATCAACAGTTCAAGGAGCAATTTAGCCCATTCTTTTTTTTTTTTGTTTTAAAAATTTTTTCCAATTGGAGAGGGGGATGAGACTTTAGAAGCGGGAAGGGACAGAGGAATTTGAGTTTAGAACTTCTAATTTTTGAAGTTTCAAATTTATTATACTTTTCAAGTTGTTACGTTATTTTTATAATCACAGGTGCAATCAATCAGCTAAGCAAGAACTTGGCATGTGAATGGGCGAAGGACAAGATCCGCGTCAACACTGTTGCACCACACGGAGTGCGAACCACTCGCCCAAAACTAGTAATTTTTTTTTGGAGCTTTGAATTCATAAGCTCCTACTTATAATTCCTTCCCCGTCCAAAACTAACAAGTTGATTATTAACTTCTAATATATTTTTATTCCAAATCTCTTCTATGTTTGCTAGTTCTTTTCCAAAAAATTAATCTCTTAAATTTCGACAAGGTTGAAAAGTCTAAAACAGGGTCAATCAAAATTTAACAATATGAATCTCTTTCAACTCAATATAAGTCAGTTTATTAGTATAAAAATGTTGGGCAAAATTGTGACACTCAAAATTGGCCTTAGATTACTAATTTATAGTAAGATTAAACTTGTATACATTACAATGTATATATCAGCAAACATGAATGCATGACATATGGACAAAAGTTGAAGTTCAAATTAAAATTGAGATTAGGTGGTATCCATCCGTACCCGCTAGTAACAGTGTATACAGGATTAAACTTTTATAAAACAGATACATTTAACTTTCAAAATTCCTTTTGCAAAAAAAAAAAAAAATTGAATTAAAGCAAAATCAACTGTATATAAGTTTACAAGAACAGACACATCAATGAAACACTTCAAGATAATGGCACCATATGTATATTAACTAATATAATTGATGAACGCTTACAGGAGGACTATGATGAAACCATTGCCCAACAGATGAGGCCTATAATGTCTCGGACTCCTCTCCGTCCACTAGGAGAGCCAAATGAGGTCTCACCACTGGTGGCATTCCTCAACCTTCCTGTTGCATCATATATTACTGGTCAGGTTATCCATGTTGATGGAGGATACACAGCAGGTAGCTACTAGGAAAACATCCCAGAAGGTTGAATCTTTGTTCCAAAGTTTTACAGTCAAAACTTGAAAGGCTTGACAAAATTGATTCAAGGTAAAGATATGTAAGAACAAATGTGTTAGGTTGTTTACAAGTGTGTTGCTCTACACCTTGTATAGATTCTTATATTTGTGCATTTTTGTATAAATAAATAGTAGGGACTTTGTTTTCCGTTAAAAGGTTAAAATATCAGCCAAGATTTTTCAAAGTGCAAAATGTTGGTTCTTGAGCACTTAAGCAACTCAAACAACTAGCAAGGAAGAAAAAGAAAGTAATTAGGCTAGGGAAGACGCGGATTATGTCACTCTATTGAGAAGATTCGTGCACCTTTAGACAACAATTGGTGAGATGAATGATTTGTTGCATCTAAAACACATCTCAATTTATCTTGTTGCTTCTACTAAATCCATACAAATAATTGAAGTCACAGCTTTATACAATACCTTATTAATACCCAATGCAGTAGTAAGACAGAATGAAGAAGAGACCTGAGAAAAATGATGTGATATACTTATTTAGAATCCTCTTTGTGTAGGTTGAAATAATAGGGTTTACAATTCTAGATATTAAATAGAATAAACATAAAATTTTTTGTTGCAATGCAATATTGTTTTGTATAAAGGTTGAAAATATTATTATTTGAATTAATAAAGCATTTCCATAAGTAACACTTTAGTGGACCTTAGTTACACATTTTTGGGAGAGAATGGCAATTGAAAATTCTTAATAGATTTGTAACTTTTATGGCTTGAATTAAAAAATGTACATGTCATTTTATTTTTGTTGAAATATTCAACATCATCCCACTCATACTAATTAAGAAAGTTGGGCATCTAGTATGAACATGCTACCTTAACAAAGTAGCAATACCTTTAAATCTTCATTTATTATTTCAACCTTCTCGTGCTAGAGATAGAATGGACTTAACCGTTTAACTATGACTACTTGAGACTATGTAAATACTTCACATATATGATGGTCAAGAAATTCTTAAATAAGCTTGTTAAGTTAGCACATCATGGCTATGTGCCTCATCCAGTTTAAAAGCGCTTTAAAAAATTAGCTCAAATTTTCATAGAAGCAGCAAAACTTCTATACTTATTAAGTGAGCTTATGAAAGATACTTGAATCATTAACATCCACCTGATAAAAGTTATAAAATTCATTGAGATTAATTCTCAGCCTATCATATATGTCATTAAATCGCATGCATGCATGTCATATTAATGAACTAAATATAATGTCCAGATCATGCATGCACCATAACAAGCCAATAATAATTTATTATGCAAACCACAAAGTTGACTCTCTCCCGCGTGTGAAAGTATTTGAAAATTTTCTCTCTCTTGAGAATTGTGCCTAGGTCTCTTTCTGTGAGAGTTTTCTTCAATTGTTCTTCCGAAATTCTAGATCTCCTAGTAGTGATACAAAATTTGAAATCCAATATGTCTATGGTAATTAATGCATTAAATAGTACCGCCTTTAATACGGTCTGATTGCTCCAACTTCATGAACAAGAACAACCTTTTAAGCTGAGGAGCTTTTTAGAATATGGGAGACGAGGTGAGCTAGGATGAGAAGTACAGTCTTCAAAAACTCCAACCATGACTTTGCTGAGACAGGTGTATCGAAGCTCAAATATTTGTAGACCTTGCCTTTAGTTTCTTTGAATCTGATTGTTTTCTGTTAGTCTTGTAGTTTAGCTACTCTTCTTTGCTCATCACTCAAAAATTTTTAAAAATAAAAAAATTTAAAAAAGAGTTCTGAAATCTGCCTTTTTTCTGCATAATAAAGAGGTTTCTCAAGGGTAGCCTTGGTTCTTTCTCCCTGGATTAGTGAGACCTACCAATATCTTGTTCCTTTACTAAGCATCTCACTTTCTGACTGTGATCTGACAAACTAGGGTGCAATATTCCTAAAGTATTGCCAAAGTTGTAAGATGGCAGATGAGATTATTGAGATCCTGCAAAAATTTACTCTTTCAAGCAAGAAGATTGGTGGAGAGGAATTAGATTTAGGAGATGTAGGTTCCAATATCAAGGAGTGTCAAACGAGCCTGATGGGGAGGATAAAAGGTGATAAAGTTGTTAATTTTGTTGGGGTCAAGAATTTTGTTAACATACCTTGGGGATATCCAAAGGAACTCAGAATATTAGAACTGGAGGCAAATATTTTTCAATTCACTGTTCCTGCTGAGAAGGACATGGAGAGAATCGTCTATGAGGACCCTTGGATTATAGATAATCAGATTTTGGTTCTAAAGGAATGGTTTAAAGGCATTGAGGAAGATGAAACCGCTTTCAACATTACTTCTTTATGGTTCTAGGTTTAGAATTTACCTGTCCATTGGTTATCTAAAGAAGTAGGGAGAAATTTTGCATTAGTTTTCCATGCAGCCAGATATGTTCTTATAACAGAGGTAGGAGGAAAGAAGAGTAGACATACTAAACTGCTGGTCATAGTTGATATAGCTCAACCTTTAATGAGGGGTACCATTGTTAAGATGGAAGGAAAGATAAAATGGATTAGCTTCACATACGAGAAGTGCCCCATAGGTTAACTGCATGTCCTAACCGCATTATAGGTTAACTGCATGATTTGAGTTCTCCAATATTTCATATTATGTCTGAGGAATCGAGATGTTGGTAGCCTTATCCCTACCTCCAACTGGTCGGTATACATACCCACTGTCCCTCAGGAGACGTGATAGCAGATTTGTTTGTCTTGGCCCAACTAATATCTAAACTCTAGCGAAACGAATACTTCCTAATAATGGCTAGCGCCTCTTCCTGGCCTATATCACTTCGAAACGAAGAGATCTCATTCAAGTCTATCATGGACAAATCTCGAGGAGTAGAGGGCTCCTCAACCCCCACATCCTGTTCGATCTCCACACCGAAGTTGTCATTGTATAAAACCTAGGAATCCATCTTAGATCCTTCCTCGATGTCCAAGTCACTGTCTCCTTCCTCTTTAGATACTTTTTCGGAAGTCTCTTCGGCCTCTACTACATCTTTCCATATCTCTAGTTTGTCTATAATTTTTTTTCGAAACGATAGAGTACTTGTATTGATCTATAGAAAGCTTTACATTTCGAGCAACGGCTCGGTGAACTGTACAACTCGTGTTCAAAGACACGGAGGAAAAAGGCTTTCCTCATCCAACAAAATGCCTAAGGCATATTAGCTAACATTAGCACTAGTATTACTATCATCCTTACTATCTAAGCAAAAGGAGCACATTCGAAACAACGACTTTAAGTTTAGAATATCCTCAAGGATTGTTGTCAGTCTACAATCAGAGGATTTATCATTTATAATCTGCCTTAACAAGTTCTTTTTTTGGATTTGGATGCTGATGTTGTACCATCCTCTTTCCAATGCTTTGCATAAGACCAGTCTGATTGCTGAAGCTGTATCAACATTCTTATTCCCATAGCTTCTGTCTTTTAATGCCCAAAAACCTGCTGCACCGTTAGTCATGCGTTTGATAGTAACTCCAATTCCCAGCAATGCAGGCCTCAATAAGCTTGTTGTTGCCACTCTCAGACTTATCAAATCTTGGTCCACTTGCACTTGATGTTCCCCCTCCAGTTCTGGCTTTGTTTCTACCGTGCTCTGGCCAATTTTCTTAGTAACTACTTCCTCCAGTTCCAGCCACTCCTTATGTGCTTTTTGAATTACACTGCAAGGTTGAATGCTGGCTTGGTCTTCAAATTCCCTTTGATTCCTTTCTTTCCAAATCTGCCATAAGATATTAGCAGTGAGACCAATATGGCTTCTCCCCTCTTGTCTTGATTTAGCTTCTGTGATTCAGCTCCACCATCTTTTGAAGTTACCTATCTGATTTTTTGCTCCATCCCATGTTATTCGGGCTACTTTCCAGATTACTTTTGCTAGCGGGCATTGCAATAGTGTGTATTCTATTGTTTCTGGCTCCTCTCCACATTCCTTACACATTGGATCACCAATTGTAGCTTTCCTGTGGATTGCCTCTCTAGCTGGTAGAGCTCCATTCACACACTTCCAGATGAACACCTTAATTTTGTGTTTGATGTTGAGCTTCCACAGTGTGTTCCATATATGCCTGCTTTGTTGGCTGCCTTCATCAAAACTTGTTCCAGTAGATGCCTGTGCTTTGTTGCTGCTTGAGCTCTCTTCTATTAGTCTCTTGTAGCCAACTCTCACTGTGTATTCTCCTCCTTCACTGTATTTCCAGTAATTAAAATCTTCTCTGCCTGCTAGACTAATTGGAATACTGAGAATCCTTTCTGCATTAGTCTTGTTGAACAGTTTGAAGATGATATTTGTGTTCCACCTACTTTAGTTGATTAACTGCTCTACTAATACAAATTCACAGTTTGGGGGTCTTGGGGTCCTAGGCTTACCAGATGGTGAAGTTGGTATTCAATTATGATCCCATATGTTTGTGCTTCTCCCATTCCAATCCTTCTTGTTACTCCTTCTTCCATAAGCCCTCTGACTTCCATCAAGCCTTTCCAGAACCAAGAAGCATTACCCAGAACTTTGCATGTGAAAATTGACTCCTTTGGAAAATACTTGGCTTTCAATACTCTGCTGACTAGGAGATTTGGTTTGGTGATTAATCTCCAAACCTGTTTCCTTAGCAGAGCTTTGTTGAAGGCTTCGAGATCCTTAAACCCCAAACCTCCTTCCAGTCTCTCTTGAGCCATTCTTCTCCAAGATATCCAGTGCATTTTGTCCTTGCCATTAGTTTCACCCCACCAGTAGTTTGCCATGGTTGAGTTGAGATCCTTGAGGAGTTTTCTAGGCAGTTTGAAACATGACATAACATAGGTTGGCATGGCCATTGTGACTGCTTTGAGCATGACTTCCTTTACAGCAGGACTTAGCAACTTGTTCTTTCAACTTTCCAGTCTCCTATTGATATTATCTCTTATGTAGCCAAAGATTTGGTCCTTTGTTCTTGAGATAACCATAGGGAGACCAAGATATTTCCCTTGCTTCACTTCTGCCATGCCTCCTAGAGCACTACAGATATGTTGTTTCTGCCTACCTGTCAAATTTTTGCTAAAGATCACTGATGACTTCTCTAAGTTGATCAGCTGACCTGATGCATGTTCATAAACTTGAAGAATCTTCATTAGCTCTTTAGCTTGCTGCACATCAGCTCCACAGAATATAAGCGAATCATTCACAAAAAATAGGTGGGTAATGTTTGGATCCTGCCTACTGTTCTTCAAGCCTTTCAATCTCTTGTTTTCTGTTGATCTTTGGAGCAGATTTGAGAAGCCTTCTGAGCAAATAAAAAATAGGTAAGATGAGAGAGGGTCTCCCTACCTTATCCCTCTTCCTGGTTTTACAAAAATCCTTTAACTTCTCCATTGCAGTTGAAAGAATAAGAGACAGTCTCCAGGTATCTTGATATCCATTTCACCTATTTATCACAAAATCCCATCTTTTGCATCATGGCTCTAAGAAAGTGCTATTCCACTCAATCGTAAGCTTTAGCCATGTCTAACTTGATAGCCATATACCTTTCCTTCCCTTGCTTTTTGTTTTTCAAATATTGCATATATTCCTGAGCAATGATTACGTTATCTAAGATTTGTCTATCAGGGATGAAGGCTGATTGATTCTTACTGATGCACTTTTCAAGGACAGGTTTCAGTCTGTTAGCCAAAACTTTTGAGATGATTTTGTACAAAACACTACACAGACTGATTGGTCTATAGTTTTTCAAGTCTATTGGGTTCAAAGTTTTGGGAATGAGTGAGATTATTGTATGATTGATAGACTTAAGCATGCAGCTTGTCAAAAAGAAATCTTGTATAGCTTGAACAACATCATTTTTAAGCAAGTTCCAGAATTTTTGGAAGAACAATAGAGTCATACCATCCACCCCAGGGGCTTTATCAGGATTCATGGAGAAAACAGCAGACCTGATTTCCTCCTCATGAACTGGTTTAGTCAGTTTGGCATTCATTTCCTCAGTAATAGACAGTGAAATACCCCTCAATACCTCAGAGTTATCATTTTCCCCTACACTAGTAAACAGGCTCCTATATAACATGGAAATCTCAGAAACAAGTTCCTCATCATTTTTTGTCCAAGAACCACCCTCTCTTTCATCATCATAGATCTTATTCCTGTTTCTCCTATCTCTCACATAAGCATGAAAAAACCTAGTGTTCTTATCTCCCCCTGTTAGCCAGTTCACTCTAGCTTTTTGACTCCAAAAAGATTCCTCCTCTTTATAAGCCTCTTTGAGTTGTTCCTTAAGCTCAGTCTTTCTCACTTTTTTGTTGTCCAAATTAGACTTGTCCAACCTCTCTAGTCTATCCTTAATGTCATTGATTTTCACTTTGGAATTTGGCTGGAAAGTGTTTTTCCATTTCAGAATTTCAATCCTACAATTCTTCACTTTTTTGGTCACTCTGAACATTCTAGTTCCTTGTTCCTCCTTGTTCCAAGCTTTTTCAATCACTTGCTGTATACCTTCCTTCTGAATCCATCTCTTATCAAAATAAACGTTTTTTCTTTTTCCTATTTCCTGGTTCAGTATCCAGCAAAAGCAAGCTGTGGTCAGACGCAAAGGACTCTATGTGCTGACAGACTACCCCTTCAAACTTCTATACCCATTCATAGCTACTAAGGCATCTGTCTAATCTTTGTCTCACTTCCCCTACACTGTCCCAGTGGTTACTCTAGGTCTAGGGGTGGCCCTCAAAACCTATGCCTACTAATCTATTCTTAGAGATGAAATCTTTAAAAGCCTTGAAACTCCTTTTCTCTCTCTTAATGCCCCCCCATTTCTCTTCATTAGAAACTATATCATTGAAATCTCTTGCTATAACAAACTTCTCCCCCCACAGTTTCCTCCTGTCAGTCAACACTTTCACTGCTATTTTCTGATTTGAGCATCACAGCTTGCATATACTCCTATAAACCACCACTCATCCTGAGGTTCCCTCCCCCTATCTTAGCTTCAATGGTGAAAGCTGTTTGGAGAGTGGTTAAGACTCTGACATCGTCTTTCCATAAAAGACACATACCACCTGATCTATTCATGGCCTCAGTTACCACACTATTCTCAAACCTTAATCAGTTTTTTACTCTATCCATATATTTCTCCCTATTTTTGGTTTCACTAAGGAAAATCATATCTGGAGAGAGGAGGTTATTCACTTCCCTCAAGTGGGGAATTGTCAAGGGCCTCCCCACACCTTGACAATTCCATACCACAAGCCTCATATGTCCTTGGGGGTCCCATTAGGAAAGGACCCCACCTCCACCTGATCAGGTTCTAAGATTACCATCATCTCAAAAGATTTATCTTTTTTCCAGTTCTGATTTTCACCTTCTTCACACTCCATTTTCTCATCCCTCAGAGGTGTTTTCCGCTTTCCCATCCTTGTCTGATTGCTCACTTGTCTATTCAACTCTCTTAGGGGTCTTCTATTTTTGATGGGAGAATTCACCTTCCTGTTTAATCTTGTTGTTTGTTTCCTGATTGCCTCCTGTACTCTTTCATTGTTATTACTAGTCTCCTGAATCAGTACCCCTCTCTCATGTTCTCCTTCTACTGATCCAGGCTTAACAGCAATAGTAGCTTCTACAGTGCTATCCTCTTCCATCACAGCAGTTTTCTCAACCAAAAGAGTCTTCTCAGCTTCTATACCTTTTGATTCAACCTGTTCAACCTGTGCTCCTTCACTTTGAATCAGAGGCTCTTGTTGTTTTTGGGGGCTATCTATATGAGCTAAACTCTGGGGGGGGGGACCTTGATCAGCTTCAATTCTCATCACATTCAGGTCTCTTGCTAGTTCTTGGTGATTAGAGTTATCCCTCTCCAAAGGTCTATTTAACTCCTACTGATTCTTTTCAAACAGATTCGTCGATTGTGTTTTTTCAATCAACTCCCCATTTACAAACTTCCAAAACCTTTTATCTTTATACGTATCATTTCTTTTTTACTTTTTCTGTGGGGATCCTTTAAAGTTCCCTGCTCTCATCCAAGGCCCATACTGATTGTCTGCATATACCCCTGCTATTTCTTGCTGTTTGCTACATGTCTTCTCCCCATAACCAACAATTCCAAAATTATAATAGAAATCTAGGCATCTTTCATACTTGAAGGCAACCCATTTCATAGTACCTTCAGTCTTCACAATGGTGCCTCTTAGCAGGGGTTTTGACAAATCTACTAAGGCCAGCATTTTCAAATGCCTAGCCTTCTTTCCTCCCATCTGTGGTATTATCACATCCTTGACCTGTTTGAAAACTACCCCAATCTTACGGCCTACTTCTCTAGTAACCCAATGTACAGGTAAATTCCAAACCTGTACCCACAAAGAGGCCAGTATGAAGGCTTCCAGATTTCCTTCTATACCTTCCTCCCATCTGTTCAGTACCAAAATTTGGTTATCTATAACCCACGGGCCTCCTTCTACTATCCTATCCTTATCATCTGAGTTAGGGATGTTGAACTGGAAAAGATTCGGTCCCAGTTCTAACACAGACAAGTGTTTAGGATAACCCCAGGCCATGGTGGCAAAGTTTTTCACTCCTGTGAAACTAGCAATCTTTTCTCCTATGACTTTCCTTATTATACTGTCCTTACATACTCTAACTCCACTCTCCAAGTCCCCTAAGTCCAGAGTAGCTCCTAAAAGTTCATTTCCAGCTAAAGAGAACTTTTGCATCATCTCATTCAGATCTGTCTCCATTGATACAAACTGAGGTACTAAGAGGTAAAAACTCACTCTAAAAAGAAAGAAACCAAGCTACCACCAGTGGAAACTGAAAAGATCTACAAAGATGCTAGAGGATCAGACTGCCAAGCAAGAGAAAGGCTTAGCTTTCTACCCGAGCTGACAAAAGTCTAGAAAATACAAACTAGCTAGAAAGCTGAAATCAGAATCATGAAGGGGAACTTTATAATCATTGAAATCAGAAAGCTGAAATCCAGTTTGTCTATAATCGCCTCCACCATTTTGATGAACTTGAGGTCAGGCCTTTATACTTTAGCCGAATCCAACCTCACTATCTCCTGATGTATTTTTGCAATTCGGGCCATTCTCGAGAAACAAGGGGAAAATACTTACTATTTATTTTTGGTAGCAATAAAAATGGGGTGGGAGTGAGGCGTGGGACCCTTTCCTTGTCCTTTGCCTTGATGCCCAAGCACTCTCGTTGTCCTTTCCCCGCATCCCGTTCTACTTCCCTCGCAGGTGTCCTTGATGGCTAATAGAAAATTGTCCTATAACAAAATTTTAGCTAAATTTCAGCCAACAATCAAGTATTTTATATACCAATATATCACCAAGGTATTATCGATACATAATTCACTATAATTTCACAAACTTAACTCATAAAAACAAACAAACAGATACTATTTGAATACAATTCAACACCATGAGACAATCAAGTTTTCACTTTTCAATCCCAAGATTGTCAAATGTGCTAGTTTCTCATTTTTGCCGGAACATGCCATCAACTATCAAGTCTTCAATTTTCTTCTTCACATGTCATGTATGTTTAATGTTTCCCTAGTAAATCTACAAGTAAATAATTTGAAATATCAACAAACAATACACCCTATTAAAAGTGACAAATAAGAAAACAAAGTTAATAATCACAAATATCGTCATCAACATGTGAAGTAGAGCAACATTGTCAAATTTTTAAACTTATTCTATAACATAATTAACATCATCCTCTTCATCAAACAAAGTAGCATATGTGTGAGAACCCTGAAAATATATATACAAATAACATTGCATATTTCATTTGCATTTCTAACTCTCTAATAAATTTTAGCATTACTTTCACTTGTTTGTAAATAAGTGCATAAAACAATTTTCATGTGAAAAATAATATAATTTTTCTAAGTTACGAAATTTCTTTTGTTTTGCTAAACTAAATTAACACCTTTAGAGTTAGAATAATTTTAGCACCCCAACATAAAATATTAAATACTTAGTCCCCATTATGTTAAATTAATACTACCTGAGCAGATTAATTTTACTACTTTAAAATAAATTACTTGGATTCCAATAATTAACTCCAAATAGATAATAACGTTAAATGTTAATAGAAATTTCACGTTAAGACGAGGCCGATAAATTTTAGATAAAAACAATACAAGTATACTAAATACGTGTAGGACGTAAAAATTTCGATAATTGAAACCTTGCAAGATTAGTGCATTATTAGGAGCTTAATTTATATTCAGAATAGATTTTTGGAGTTAAGTTAGAATTAAGGACTTAAGTGGTCATTAGAAGGAAAAGTGAAAAGACTAAACTACCCTCACAACCTCACAAATCACCATGCAATCCAACACCCTCTGACAACATCATCACTCACCACCCCATCCGGCCAATGAAACTTTCTCCAATCCAACACTCAAACCTCACCAACACTCAATCCCTCAACTACCGTAAATCACCTCTGCTACCTAGCACCACAATCACTCCACCATCTCACCTCAACTATAATCAATTCACTTCACCATATCAATTCCAATCCTCCACAACACAACTTCCTCATTTCCATCTCCTGCTGCAACCGAGAGAAAAGAAAAGAGAGAAACCGCAAGCTGCAATATTTTTTTTTCTTTTCTTTCTTCTGTTCTGACCGTGAGCTAAGAGGGAAGAAAGGAGAGCAGCACTGCGTGAGTTTCAATCCTTGCTGCAACTTCAACCAGTTGCAACCATCTCCAACTACAAACACCACATCTGCAACCACCGGCAACCAAGACAGCAGCCAACCATCCAGTCGCGTGCGAGCCGAGAGGGAAGAAACATTAGCTTTCTGTCGTGAGTATAAGCTTCGATCTGAGGTAATTCTTAAGCTAAACTACATTGACCAGAGGTAGATTGAGCTATCTATGGCTGTGCATGTGAAGCTTAGGCGATTGGATGATGATTTTAGGAAAAGAAAAACTGATGTGCGAAGGAATGGGTTTTGCTGGAAAGCTGAATTGATAATGCAGCCTTAATCTTATTTATTTGAAGGAAGCTGAGCTTGTAACTACAATTAACTAATTAAGAACTAGAGGATTAAGCCTTGCATGTTGAGATTATGCATTCGGATGATGAACTAAGAGCATCGGAAATTCTGGTTTGGAAGAAATGAAAACTGCCGCGAGATGGATTTAGAAATGCAGACCTTAATTTGCTTATTTGTGGTAACCTGAGCTGATAAATGTAAGGATCAAACTAAGAACAAGATAATTAAGTCTTACATGAGGCTGAGCAGCTCGGCTAAACAAGGAAAAAAAATTATAATAAGAATAAGCTACAATCTGTCGTATGCAACCTCATCCGAGATAGCTGAACCAATTTCTGGAATTTTGGATGATTTTAGTTATTGCTTGAATCTAATTTTGAACTGGAAATATTAATCGACTAGCTAAGTAATTGCATGCCGAAACTGAGTACTTAATATCATGTTTTAGCCGATGACAGATTTACTGTGGTGGATCTATTTGCTAAAATTACATGTTATTCGTTTTATTTCACGGTGGAAAATTTTGATGGTGGGCTCTATGAACTCCCACCCTTGGATTGATGGCTGATAAAATGATTGATGATGGATATAATGCTAGTTTAGTATTTAAATAAATAGATTAATGATATCTAGCTAGTCTAGACTTCAAGGGATGCATAGTTCAAAAATATTCAGTTTTGCCCTGTTTTAATCACACCCCTTTTTGTAGAACTTTGAGGGTTTCATGACTCGTATATTATGTTTATATGTTGAATATGTGGTGTACAAAGTTTCATTGAAAAATATTGAGATTTGGTTGGTCAAATAAAATGATTTCACAAAGCTAGTAAATCTGGAACTGTTTCCGTAATACTGTGACCTGCTTTCGTATTTCGGCTATAAATCTGTGCTCCGATGTCGAAATTAAGTGCCGTCAGTGGCATTTAAAACTAGATATCCCAGCATTTCCGACGGTATAAAATGCACATTTTGGATCCATGTGTGTGAGCCGAACCAGCCATTTTAAGTCGGCTGTCCTGTTTCTCTGTGTTACAAGAACAAAATGATGAGGCTGCAACTTGTGGCTCGAATTCGAGCTAGTTGTGTGCCGAATTTCATAGTGATTTCTTCTGTGAAATTATAGCTTTATGAATGTGTTTTCCAATGCCATAAACCATGCCAAATTCCTAGTTAATTTGAGTGATCTATGATCAAAATAGGAAACCTGCTCTGTCCTTGAAAACCCTGATTTTTAGACAGATTTGATGCAAGGCTCGGTATAGACTTGCAAATTAAAACTCTTGGTGTTAATCACCACAAATGTTGTTCTGGGATGACCCTTAAACCTTTTCTATGCAAATGAACCATGTTTAGAGGATTTTCCTTGGTCAAAAGTTTAGAAAAGGAAATGTTCATATACAAGGCAACTTTGCCTTAAAAATTTTGGAAACTTGAGTGATTTTGTTAAGTGACTTTCCGTGCATATTTTCCTATGAAATTTGGTAGAGGGACAACCCTTATATGGTAGTATTATACTGCTAATTTTGGTGTTATTCCGAGACCGTTTCATGGGTTAAATAAATTACCAAAGTTCATGACTCGAGCTTGAAAAATCCATGTTTCACAAGGGAATTTTGGTAACTTTGAGTTGCCATATCTTAATATTCAAAACTCCGTTTCTCATTCCGTTTGTTTTAATGTACACTTGGATTACGACTCTAAAAGAGTACCAAATTTCAAAAGCTAGTTCCCAACGAGTGAATTTTTTCGAATTTTCAAAGTTGACCAAAAATCAACTTCAATCTGTCTTATGAACCAAAGCAGCGTCCTTGAGCTCATTTTGAATATTTTCCATTTGGAATCATGGAAAAGTGTCTTCGAGGAACTTTTAATACTTTGGAAGTAGTTTCCAATGGTACCAAGTTTTTCAATTTTGGACCTACTGAGTGCAAGACCTGATTTTTCTAAGTTTGACGTGCACAGCTGAAATTTGCCGATTTCTTAGAAAATGAAATTTTGAAAAAAACCCGTTATTCCTTCTTGATGATAATTGGTCACTTTAAACTTGATTTCATGAAGGAAATTATTTTTCCTTGTGTTAATAAAACCTCACTTTTGAACCTTTATTTGGAGTGGCTAAGGTTCTTGATTTGAGGTATTGACAAGTCTAGATGAGTGTAACTCCTTTCTTGATTAATGCGTGATTATGTGTAAAAAAAAAAAATACTTGTCAATTGCTTCAGGTGCTCAAGCTAGTCTTGAAGAGAATCCCGGAGAGGACAATTAAAGATTTTCTCGTTCAATTACTTTTGAATAGGTGAGTGTCAAGTGCATGACTTGTCGTGTTTACTTGGTTTACCTGCTTATATACGTGAATATCGCTTGATGGGACGAGTGTGTACTTTATCGCACTCGCTCTCCTTTACTTGAACTTTATTCGTATTAACTTGGTTTTCAAGTCGATTTGAGTGAATCTCGTCGGCTAAAATATACCCGTTTTCGTGTACGTGTCGTGTTGTCGTGTGTGTTGTGCTTGCCGTGCGTGTCGTGCGTGACGTGTTGTCGGGTGGAGTGAAACTCCTCGGCTTATGGGGACGCCCAAATTCTCTTAGCTAATCTTGCAACTCGAGCCGGCATGGGCTTGGTCGAGAAGCTTGATAAGCCAAGGGAACAACAAATCATAACTTGATCTTTTGAGATCTTGTTCGGCATACTCGTGGAGTATCGCCCTTTTCGTGCGTGTTCAAAAATCAAAACTTGATCTCTTGAGGTCTCGTTCGGCATACTCAGTGAGTATCGCCCTTTTTGTGCGTGTTTGGTTATGGATCCGAGAGGGTGGAATGTTGGCTGGAGGGAGTAATAAGTGAAGTTTCTACGGATATAATACCCACCCGGATGACGGAGGGTCATGGTGAGGGGGTATCGGATCAAGCCGTGGCGAAGCAAGAGGAAAATAGCTCCTGAGAGCTCCTATATCCTTGAATTGTTTCTGTTTACTTGCCTCGCTTGAATTGTAAATTACTTGAACCTTATTGTTCTACTTGGACAACGTGCGTGCATGTGTGTTTTCTTGGCCTCACGAGCTATTGGCTCACCGTGTATATTTGTTTTCCTTGACAGGTTCTGGAAATTGAGAGTTTTGAAATTTACTTGTATTTTCTTATGGATGTAAATGAATACTATGACTTCGCTTTGCGGTTTGTAATGTTTAATGTTACTTATGTCATGTATCGGATTGGAGATACGTTAAGCTAGGTGTACTTAATGCTTTGGATTGCCACTTGAAGTTGGAAAAGTGAAATCCCTGATTCAGATATTCGGCTTGTACGTTCGTACTTGTGTTGTATGAACTTGTATGTTTAGGATGGTATGACTTTAGACTTGGGTTGTAACGCGTAAGGTTCTTAAGAGTCGACGATTGGCTATATTGAAATACTGTTATCTCTGAAGTTAATGTGGTTTGGTTATTGACCATTTTGGAGGAAAGTGATATTGTAATAGATTAGGTTATTCTTCGGAAGGGTTTTGGCTAGATTTCTTGCGTGAGTCCTGGCGAGAGTTGGGTAGGCGTTCCGCAGATACCCCTTGGTTCGCCTTGGAGAGAAGTGGGGCCGTCACAATATGAACTCCCTTCTAAAGTAGAGCAAGTAGCTACCAAAAGATAAAGAAGTAATCATATATTTAATAAATAAAAAATACTACAAAAAGTTGTACAACTTCAAAATTAGAAATAAAAACTTTTATTTACCATTGACTTCATTCCATAACCAAGTAAGAGTACACATCACTGCTTCCAAGGTATTGCAGTGAAGTCTAGATCAATAAGGACTCATTCATCAGCATAAATGATCGAAAACTACCACTCAATCAATTTCATTTTATATCTCTGATCCAAAACTATAGCAATACCAAGTATCACATTACAATATTCCTAATACTTTTTATATTTTGACATCATCTTTTCAGCCATCACTCTTATTAAAGAATTTGGACTTTTTATTTATTGAGCCAATGATACCTTAATATCGAGTATCAGAGAACATTTCAGTTGCTTGATAGAACAATTTTAACTTCTCACAAACTTCATTACAGATTACTTAATACTCATCACTTGCAAATAAGTGTAGTGTTTCCCATGTATTTTAACCCATGGAAATACATTATTATACGTCTTTATAAATTGTAGCTATTTACAACATCAAAGGGTTGAATTCCAATCGGTTTTACAATCTAAGCACAATTGTTTTAGTATAAAAAATGCATAATTGACTAGTAGTTTCTTCAAAATTTACAACACCTAGCAGTAGAAGTAGTCCAATACGCAACACTAGCACGAATTCTCTCAGTAGCACTCGATATCATTTCTAATCCATCTTTCACAATTAAATTTAGAATATGAGCAGCACAATGCATTTGAAGTACCAAACCATCCATGATCAAATTATTCAAAATTAACTTATCCAACAAACAACCAATCATAGCATCATTGGTGTAACAAAATTGTCTAAAGTAATTATAGAATCAACATTCCAATCCATCAAAGAAGAAAGCAGTATATCACTCAACATATCTTTGGTATAAGGCGCTGGAACATAAACATGCCCGAATAATAGAAGAAAAACACAATTTGCTTACGTATAACATCAATTAATATAATTTAAATTTTGAAATTTTGGAAAACATACCTCAATAATTGACTCTGTAAGATTCAAGAATCGTCAATGTAATGTGCAGTAATGGACATGAAACCTTTCTTGGTGTTATTAGAAGTCCACATATCAGTTATAATTGCAACCTTACTTTTGAGATTTTTCAAAAAATTACAATTCTTCAATTTTTGTAATTCATCGATCTTTATGATATCTCTTTTGATTGTATTTCTTGAAACCATTTTAAAACATGGTTGCAAACAATTAACAAATTTTTGAAAGCTGATATGATCAACAATAGATAATGGATTCTCATGCAATACAATTGCAGTTGCAAGCTCATTGTGTGAATGTCGTTGATCAAAGACATGATTGTGCAATTCTTGATTTCCATCATCTTACTACCACTCCGAAGTAACATTTTCCTAATATCTTATTTTAATTTTTTGACACACCTTTTAAGGTGATCATCCTAGCTACTTGTCCCATGACTATTACTTGTTTTGTAGCTTTTTCTTAATAATACTTGTACACACCCAAATAAACACCATCATCACCTACTTTTTCTAACAAAATGAGCCCACACTTTTTATTTCAATTTCCTTGTACCTCCTGCAATTTCATATTCTTCTTCTACTTGATCTTCTAAATCAGTTGGCTCATCAATGATTATTTGTAGAGTTAGCGAATTAATCCCTTGTTCGGACTAATTCACCACAGTGGAAATTCTACAAAATAAATAATTTAAGTTTAAGAAATAGTAATGCCAACACAACTAATCATTTAACAAACAGGACATTTTGATTGAAAAGTTAGGGACCACTCTTAAGACTTAAATTTGCTCAATGTAAAAGGAATTTTTACATGAATTCATGTCCAAACATGGCTACCGCTTACACTAAAGAAATTACAGAGATTTCAACACAAATTTACATGATCCTATACATGAACTTGCAATGGACATGCCAAACCAATAATGGGGATGGAGGGGAATTTTCTCTAATTTAGATAATCTTTTTTAATTGTTGACATGTATAAGAAAAAAGTATACTCTATGGCAGAAAAGAACTCAATTAAAAAATGAAACTCGATAAGTACATATCATATTTTGGCTGGGCTTAGCATATTTGACCTTGTCTAAGTTATCAACTTTACTAAGATTGAAAGCCTGATAATATCATAGATTTTATTTTATTAGTCCAATCAATATTGCCAAGGAAATTATCAAGTTTGACTAAAGAACATATGCCCACAGATAGTGATAACAACTTGTGAAACAGGTGTAGATCAGAAATGGAAAATATGGGTCATAATTTCATAAATTGGAGTACAAAGATTTCAAGCATTATATGTTGTGTATCGCCTACATTAAAGAAATTACAGCCAATGTGGAATTTCAAGAATATTCAAATGATATGCAGTTCAAGAATCACATCTTTAGCTTGGAAAGATTAAGCAATTGAAGGCTTCAAGCTCCAACGGCACTCTGACAGTAGAGGAAGGCATCATTGACAAGATCAAATGAAGAGCGAACGGGCTAAAGTGGTTGTCGATCAATGGACAGTGACTCGAGGGTGGGCTAGTTGCAAATTATTGGACTAGAAAAGGGAGAGAAGAAAAGAGGGACCAAGAGAATTAGGATTTAGGGTAAGGGGCTATAAGTTGTCTCATGTCTAAAGATTGAAATTTTGATCAATGGAGGGGTGATTGATGGACTAGCATCTTCTAGCGGCAGGCAGCAAATAAGAAGAAGACTAGAGAAGGGAAGGAAAGAAATGAATCTACCCATCCGAGAGAATAGGGAATTAGGGTAAGGGCAAATTGGGTTTGGATTGGTATAATTATAAATGTCTTAATTTGACTAATAATATTAATTAAATTTTATATATAATCTGAATGTCTTTATTAATATAACTAATAGAATTGAATTATTAATTATATTATATTATTTTTTATATTTATTTATTTATGCGAGGGACAGGACGGGTGATGGGGTGGCCACCCATGTCATTTTTTAGCAAGTGGGGAAAATGCCCCTCGCCTTGCTCCACTTCCTGCCTATCATTCCCTGTAGGACAAGTGCCCGCTATCCCTATTAAGAAGAGAATGTTATAGAAGATTTTGGCTAGAGCTTTAAGGGGAAGAATGTTATAAAAAATCTCAACTGAAAAATCAACAAAGGCGAGCACTTTGCAAATGGGGATCTGCCTCCTATTAATAGTGAAACTTGGAAGATGAAGTGGTACTTTTCAAAATTTGAAAAACCTGCCCCCTTTCCTGTCATTAATACAACACGGTTGGGCTAATGATTTGAATAAAGCTGACATTCTGATTATGCATCCCATCTATCTATCAAATGGGTACATCTTTTCAACTTTTGCTGTAATGTCATGTGCTTGCACCTACCATCCTTTCAACTTTTGTAATTGTGTTGTTAACTTCGGGAACAGAAGAACTTCGGGATCCACGGCCTTTGGGTCCTCGTCTTGTTGTTCTCGAGTTGAGGGACTTATTGTGGGTACTCTTATCGAGTATTCCTATCGAGTACTTTTGCCAAGTGTCCCTGCCGAGATCCCCATGAACTCGATAGATCACCCTGCCGCTGATCTGCTTGACTATTCCAATGGATGGTCCCTTCGAATGACTTGCCAACTCTTTGAGGATGACGAAGCTCCCGAGTTGTTATCTGGAATCCTACCTCAGGAAGATCTTTCGGCTGGGCCAATTTGTTAGATGCCGTCCGACAGTTACTGGCGCACTGGTCCTACCCTGACACCCCTAAATTGTCTCAAACTGTGATGTCAAGCATTGTCTTCTATTTCTCTCTCTTGCCCACAATTATAAACACCCCTTACTTTGCTCTTGCTATTATTCCGCTATGAGGCTTTACTTGACTTGAGCATCGGAGTAACACTAAGGGATAAAGCCCCACCCTTCCTTTGCTTTGTTTTCCCCCTTTAAAAACTGCAGGTCATCCATACCTGAGTTATCAGGTCAGCTAAAAACAGTAGATCACATGTACAATGCGAATGAAGCCAAACTTCAGTCGAGCTTAAACATTTACCAAACACAAAATAATGTTTGAATGATCTCTTACTGAACTGAACTAAATTTGAATATTGAGTAGATTGATTAGTTTTTTAGCCCTAACTTCATTTTAGGTGCTATCAAAGCTTGACCCTTAATCTAGAGTCTTGGCTCTGTCAATAATATAAATTCTTAAACTTGAACACACAAACATCTCTTTCAATATGTAAAACATGAGCCAAATTTGAATATTGAGTAGATTGATTAGTTTTTCAACCCTAACTTCATTTTAAGTGCTATCAAAGATTGACCCCTTAATCTAGAGTCTTGGCTCTATCAATGATGTAAATTTTTAGACTGGAACACACAAACATTTCTTTCAATATGTAAAACATGAACTTTACTTATGGTGTTAAAATTTTTGTCATTATTTGTTATTTTAATTTTACCCTCAAATAAGTAAGAATTAATTATATATGCTATTGGGAGTGACACACCTTATATATGTGCAAATTAAAAACAAACTTTTTCCTTCACAATATAAGGATAGGAGTTTTTTTTCCCTTTTACAACAAAGGCAGATATTGTTAGAAGTTTGTTTTGCAAAAAAAAAAAAAAGAAGAAATTATTGGAAGTTTTTTTGAAAAGAGGTTATTGG